CTCTCTCTCTCTCTCTCTCTCTCTCTCTCTCTCTCTCTCTCTCTCTCTCTCTCTCTCTCTTTCCTCTGAGATACACCTCTACCGCCCACGTACCCGTTCAACGGTGTGGTCCGTGGGGCGTCGGTGCCAAGCCATTCTAATTCTCAGCAGCCATAAAAACATCATGTGCACCTTACCTAAGTTTTTTTTTTCGCGGTGTTCATTCGCTGCGTACCTGGTACGTGTGCCTGGCGGTACCATGGCTCCCGCGGCTCCCTCGACGGGGCGGCGATGCCGTGCGATGCGATGCAGCGAGGAGAACTCGCCCCTCGAGAGGCGATGAGCATCGCGGAGTAGCGGAACAGTGTGCCGACGAGGCACGGGCCGCGCAGTCGCGGCGCAGCTGGAGGCATGCTGGAAGGTGGGGGCTGCAAGTACCCCGGCCATGTTTCTTATTACGAGTGGGGCGCGGAATGTGACTGCCGGCAATGGAGCGCGTCGCAGCGGCCGCACCAGGGGACCACCGCCACGACCACCACGACCACCACGACCACCACGACCACCACGACCACCACGACCACCACGACCACCACGACCACCACGACCACGACCACCACGACCACCACCACCACCACCACCACCACCACCACCACCACCACCACCACCACCACCACCACCACCACCAGGACCGTCATCTCCACGCACCATCATGACCACTAACCACCACTAACCAACTACAACAGCACACAACAGCAGCCCCCCTAAAAAAAAATTACCGTCACAAGCAAAGGCGTCGTTGGGTCGACTACTGCCCCTCCTCTTTTTTGTGGTGTGCACCCTTTGCATGGCGCCGGCGTGTGCGTACCGGCACGGCGCGGCACGGCACGGCGCGGCACGGCCCTGGGGAGCTCATTGGGGGCCGCCGTTGTCCTCTGATGGCCGCATCTTTGGCGTACGCGCCGCCATCGCCGCCCACCGCCCCCCACATCGCCGTATCTGGACGGGGCTGGACCGGGCTGGACCGGGCTGGACCGGGCTGGACCGGGCTGGCTGGGCCTCTGGCACGGCGAGGCACGGCGCCCCTCCCTCGCGTATTTCAGGCGCATCCACTTTTACGATCATCAGTGGCTGCGGACGGTCCACTCGGCCCTGCCCTGCCGAGCCCTGCCAAGCCCTGCCAAGCCCTACGCGACCCTACGCCGACCCACGCGGCCCCACGGGGCCCCACGGGGGGCCACGACCCTTAAGGGTTCGGCCAAGGGTCGCAATATGTTTCTGAAGCGATGGCACCGAGCGAGGGCCCGGCCAAAACAACTCTCGCCCGGCCCACCCCCAAACGCGCGTCCGCCGCGGCCTGGAAATTGATTATGTTAGGCGAGGGGGTAGGGGGGGGGGCTTGGCCGTGGTCAGGGAGCGATGCTCAGACAAGGGCGGGGCCGGCGGAGCGCGCAGCGACGGGTTAGGCTCAGAGAGCTGTCCGATTCCTTTTCAGGACCAGTGGGCATGAATAATCAGGAGGATCACACGTACACTGCGAAACTAATTTTCGAGCGAACTTTGCGGAGAGCCGCGCAGTGAAAACTATTCGACAAAGATGCTGGGAAACTCAGTCGGTGGGAACCAGCAGTGCGCCCCGACGGTAGAAAATAGTTTCACGATGATGACCAGCTATTCTTCCCTTCTCCAAATTTTTAAATTGCGTTTCTGCCCCGTCGCGCCACGCCTAGTGCGTGCAACATTGTGCGAGAGAGAAAGGCTTCCCGCGCAATTGGCTCGTCCAAGCCCAGCCCAGGCCGCACAGTGGGCCAGAAGACCGGTGGAGGCGGACAAAAATCTAGACGCGTTTTGAGCTCCAAAGTCGCTAAATGAGACTGGAACCGAACGTGTGACCCCACCAATGGATTGCTCTCTGGACGAGGAATCCATTGGTGGGGTCGCACGTTCGGTTCCAGTCTCATTTAGCGACTTTGGAGCTCAAAACGAGTCCGGGATTTTGAATGCCTCCACCGGTCTTCTGGCCCACTGCGAGCCGCGGCCCGCGAGAGGCGGCGGGACGCCCAAACTCCCCGACCCGCCAATTCAGCCCGTAATCCTTGCTATATCCTTTCGGCCCTCCTCGAGGCCCTTACGCTACAGTAAGCCGCGTGGCAAGCGATCCTTCCATTTTTCCTGCCGATTCTCCCTTTCGCCTCTCTTTTCCCCCTTTTTTTTTCGCGGCGCGTTCCTTTGTGGCGTGAAAGGCGTGTTTCCGAGGAGTCGCTCTGTCTCTCTCGCACCCCCGGGAACGCCCCGCGAGTGCGAGAGAGAGAGCCGTAATTACGGAGATCGCGCCCTCCAGCGCCAAGAGCGGCATTGTACGCCGCTCACTCGTTCTCCCTCATAGGGCGCATAAAATTTTACGGGTCTGTTTATAACGTGACTACATCGTAAACAGTCACACGGGTACCGCCTCCACTCCGCGGCTCCGCGGTGGCTCCGCGAACGATGACTCTCGGCGCGATACTCGTGGCTCCGCTTCCCTCGGCAGTCGGGGCTGAATGGCAAACCCTGCTTCGCGGCGACATCCCAGCGCACCGCCCCACAGTGGGCCAGAAGACCGATGCAGGCGGTCAAAATCCCGGACGCGTTTTGAGCTCCAGAGTCGCTAAATGGGACTCGAACCGGGCGTGTGACCCCACCAATGGATTCCTCGTTCGGAGAGCAATCCATTGGTGGGGTCACACGTTGGATCGAGTCCTGTTTAGAGACTTTGGAGCCCAAAATGCGTCTAGAATTTTCACCGCCTCCGCCGGTCTTCTGGCCCACTGTGGGACGCCTCCGATCCCCCTGCAGCGCCCTGCTCCGACAGCCAGAGCGACGAGTCAGGCTGCAGGGAGTCAAGACGAAGAAGGGCTGAGGGCTGGCCACTCCACTGCGAGCACTGCGAGGTGGGTACTTAGGCCGTCGGTTCGCTCCCACAAATCTCCAGCGGAAGTAGATGCCGTTGTTCTCGGCGCTTTCCGCGGGAACTTCAATAAGTCCATCTCCGTCACGCCGCGCGCTCTCTGGCTTGGCTGCTTCGCGTCGCCGTGGCGGCGGCAAGTGGAATCACTCTCCAGGAGGGGAAACGACGAGGCCGCCCGAGACAGAAAGAGACAGACAAGAGCAGCAATATCCGGCGCGGCGGATGGAACGAGACGGAACGAGATGGAACGAGATGGAACGCCCCGTTTCCCAGGGCGGACGCGGCGGACGCGTGCGCGAGGTTCCTCTAGTTCCCGCGGGGGAAGCGGAATTTGCAACGGTTACACTGTGAGTCAGTCGGCCAGTGGGCCAGCCAGTCGGCCAGCGGATTAGGCGGACGCGGCTGGAGGCACGTTTCGGTCTCTGCCACGCGGCCCGCTCTTCATCCCAAACCAGTCCGACGCGCGGCACGCGGGGCGAGCCACTGGATTGTTCGACGGCCTGGCCGTTATTGCCGCCATCCCGTCCCAGTCACTTCCCTTCCAGGAAAACCGCTTTTAACCTTGTACCTTGCCCGGCCGCCTGAACCGCACAGTGCCGGATGACCAGTGGAGGCGGTCAAATTTTTTTTGACGGAGTTTGACAGAGTTGCTAAATGGGACTCGAACCGAACGTGTGACCACACCAATGGATTGCTCTCCAAACGAGGAATCCATTGGTGGGATCACACGTTCGGTTCGAGTTCCGCTTAGCGACTCTGCTGCTCAAAACGCGTCCAGAGCTTCGGCCGCCTCCACCGGTCTTCTGGCCCACTGTGAACCGGTCCGCTAACTCGCCGAAGCCTCAACCTGGGACGAGAGCGAGAAGCCTGACCGCACTTAAGTCAGTGTCTGCCTGTAACGAGGGCTGCCCCGACGCTGCAAACTCCACAGCCTGCGCATCGGCTGCCTCACTGTAGGAGCAAAGACGCTGCCCCCCTCCCCCTCACCGCATTCAATAATCAGTTGTCTGCGTGGAGCCGCTGGGGCTGTGCCAAACTCTGCGAACGCTACGCGCTCGTCTCCTGCAACTACTCTGCGTGCAAGGCCCGTCGCCCCGGGCAATGCCCTAAAACCCTTTTCGGGTTACATGTGGGGATGTAAAATCTGTCTCTCTCGTGTACTGTCAACCGGCGGAAGATTTAGCGTGGCGAGGAGGCCGTTCAAAAGTGGGGGGTGGCAGGGCCGCGCTCGAGCGGAGCGGCAGAAACAAAAAAAGCTTTTACCCGGTACTGCGCACCTCACGGCACCTCGCCTCGCCACACCACCTGGGCGGCGTATAAGTCTCCTTCAACCTGCTCGCGCTGGCCCCGAACCATGCCGCTGTCTCTCCCGCACTCTTGGGGCGACCCGCGAGGGTGCGAGAGAGACAGAGCGACGACGCTCCAGGTTCACCTTATTTCGGGCCGGAAGTCACACGGGCTGTCGACAGCACAACGCGCTGGGCCCCCATTATTAAAAAACTGCTTCCCGCAGCTTGAGCGCGACGCAGCAGAGGCCCCGCGACAGGGCCGGCAATATTGAAAAGAAAGCACCTTTAGAAATTAAAATGGCGTCAGTTTTTGCGCCAGACGTGGGATTCTAATGCAGCGGAACGCAAAGAAAGGGAGCGCGGAGTCGTTGGGCCGCGCTGCGAGTGCGAGGCACAGCGTTGCCTGCGGCTGACCACACTGCAGGACCTGCCTCACTGGTTAAAAAAAGGGTGGCTTGATGGCGTTGCGCGAGGAATCCCACACATGTGCCTGGCTGTATGCAAGGCAGTGCGTATCGTGGAATGTCGTGTCTTTCTCTCTGTTTTCCAGCCCCCCCTCCCCCCTTCTCTGATACCAGGCATAGTTCGCGCACGTCGTTGCCAAGCCCTGCCCTTCCCCCACACCCCACCACGAGCCCCACCACGACCGCACCTTTGCCCCCAACCCCATAAATTCCCCTTTTGCCATGCGCTTGCAGAATCACAGATGGTCCTTTTTCGGGTGGCGGCGTTATGCTGTGACTAGCGGACAGTGCTGCCAACGGGCGGGATAAGAAAAACTCTGGAAGTAAGTAATCAAAAGTACTCTTTATTAATTTAAATACAAAAATATGCCAATCGGTTAAAACTGCGGTAGAGCTTGAAACGTGTAAGACTCAGGAAAATACTTTATAAATTATTTAATTATGTCATGTTGAACCTTGACCATATCATGGCAACAAATATACGCGTAATAAATTGTAAACGGTAGATGACACAAAAGTCACTACGTTCCGAAGAAAATGGCTCGCAGGAATCCGGGCTCAGGTGGATCGGGCGCGCCATGTTCTTCGGTTACAAATACTCAAAAATAAAAGATACAAATCGAAAATATGTACACATCGGGAATAACGCACTCGTTCGGAAAAGTACTACCTTCTCTTTATGAACATGTGTTAACAAACTGTACAATGAACACAGCATTACATCTAAGTACAAAACCTTAGCGTCGATAAATAACGTTCCATGACCAAAGTGGCGAACATGAGCAGCCAATCATGCGAGTCCTCACATTCTTCCACGACGACCCGCAGGAACAGTTCACAAGAGTGGTTCTGACATTGTGAGCATGGGCACTCCTTCTAACGACCCCACGTTTTTTTTCACTGAAGACCTTTAATTCAAAAATAAATTGTCCATGATAACGAATTTTTAGAACGATTTTCCATTAGTTTGTCTTCAAACTTCTCAAATTGTTTTAAAAAAATGAAACGGAAAACTAAAAAAAAAAAAAATGAGTGGAGTTGATCCGACTGCTGAATATGTGGAGAGCAGCTCAGCAAGCGCGCAGGCAACTGCACACGTCGACCAAGGCCAACGAATTCAAATTAATACTTTTAGAGGAACCGCCGGCGGCCTTGGGATGAAATTGCTCGGCCGCCGAGCACAGCCACGCGGAAGTAGAGACCGCCTGCACCCAATCACAATTTGCATCCTTTTCACACACCAGCTGTTTCAACGGAACCAACGGTAAAAGTAGTGAGCAAAAGCCAAAATTTTATATTTAGGGTGAATAGATCCAATTGAAAACAGATCCCATCAGTTGTAAAATTAAGCAAGGCGTATGGTTTTTCTGCCCCTTGAACCAGCCATCACGTTTCATTAGTGAAAAATGATGCAAAGCCAGCGATGCTTCAAACAGCCTCTGGCGCCGCAGCCCGGCTTTGGAATGCTGTGCACAGTGTGGGCGCAGTGTGTCCCGGTAAGCCGGTCCTGGAGCCGACGAGCGACGGGCCGGACGACCCGACCCGTCTCTGCGGTCAGGGGGCTGATATACAAGGCGGTTTCGTGGTGTGCTGAGCACTGCTGAGCTCTGCTAGCTCGCCCAAGGTCAACAGCGGGCTCCACGCTTCCTACTGAGTGGTGCAAATCACAGGGGACCGCTGCTCTCCCATTTCGTCAACACCGTCGAAATAAATTATTCAGGCAGGTAGTGCCCGGAGGTTCCGCCGGGGTTCGTTGCAGCCTGCCCACGCTCGCACAACGAGGTAACCCACCACGTACTTTTCCTCACCCACTAAAACACTGCCGCCGACCACTCGGCGCAGTGTTGCTCACGTCCATACAGAAAGAAACATACCTTTTAACGTAGTAATTAGAAAAAATAGTTTTGGTGTTTTTAAAAAGCTTCAGGCCAGCCTGGTAACACTACTAGGTGAGTCACAGACCCACGGGGGTTTGTTATCGTCCCTAGGCGCACTGATACGTAATCAGCCCGCGCGTGAGTCCGACACAGCTAGTCTGTCCATGAAACCTGTTTGGAAGACAGCCTCGAGGGGATTTCTCCTCCAGCCGCGCGTCCGCGGACGATGGCGCCACAGAGACCAAAAGGGCCCCGGCGACGCGAAATCTCGCAGCCGGAACGCAGGGCCTGAAGCGGGGCCACACACCGCCACCACTGTACCGGCACGCCCGCCACCCGGCCTGATAAGAGCAGAGGTCCCGTTGTCGTCACGCCAGCACTCGAAAAACCGAAATAGCTGTGTCACTGAGTGCTGGCACACTGTGTTGGCCACACGGTGGGTCGGGAGTTTGTCGCGTTGCAGCTGCCAGGGTCGGCCGACACGGGGGGACAAGCCCGCCCCCACTCTGCTCCCCCCTCCACTGGCGACAGTCCCCCTCCACTGAGGCAGCTCCCCCCACCGCAGCACAGTGGGCCAGGAGACCCGCGCAGGCGGCTTAAACTCTGGGCGCGTTTTGACTCAAAACTGAGCGTGTGACCCCATCAATGGATTCCTCGTTCGGAGAGCAGTCTATTGGTGGGGCCACACGTTCGATTCGAGACCCCGTTAGTGACTCTGGAGCTCAAAACGCGTCCGGGATTCTGACAGCCTCCAGTGGAGGCAGCTCCGCCACCACAATGCTCTCCGACTTGTCTGCTCCACGGCCTGGGGCGGCGCGGCGTGCTTACAGTGGCTGGCAGGCGGTGTGGCCCCGGAGCCGGTGCTACACGTTCGTCACCTGGGTCATGGTGACCCCCACGGTGTGGCCGTTGCCGTCCTCGTGCCCGTTGGTCTGCGGCACCATGGTCCAGGCGTTGAGCAGGCGCGGCCGGAACAGCGTGTTGAACGTGTTGCGGAACTGCCGGCTCATGCAGCAGTACACCATGAAGTTGATGGCGGAGTTGATGAGCGCCAGGATGTCCATCACCTGCGGAGAGAAGGCACGTTTTGTTTTAAAACCAGAAAGAACTGCCCAGCTTCACCGACAAGGTGAGCCTCATCCGCCACATCTGAGAGAAACACAGGAGAACGCTGTAGAAAACTGGCGTTGGCTCCATCATTTCCAAGCTAATCTGGAGCTCTCTTTCGGTAGCCTCTCTAAATCCCGAGGGCTTTGCCGCGCTCGGCCGCCAGCTGATGCCTAGAACGGCGAGCAAGTCAGCCCAACCTGTCAGGGCGTTCCAAGCGCGTACAGCCAGATAAGATTGGCCGGGCGGGTGCGCGACACTGTCAACAAGCGAACACAATCACACAGGGCAGCCTCGCGCCGAACCCCGCACAGAGGGCCAGAGGACCGGTGGAGGCGGCCAAGTCGCGTTTTGAGCTCCAGAGCCGCTTGATGGGACTCGAACCGAACGTGTGACCCCACCAATGGATTGCTCTCGGAACGAGGGATCCATTGGCGGGGTCACACGTTCGGTTCGAGTCCTATTTAGCGACTCCAGACCTCAAAACGCGTGTACAGTTTTGGCCGCCTGCACCGGTCTGGCGGGTGGAGGCGACTCAAAACTTCCGAAAGGGCAATTATCCGCGGATCCATGCCAGAGGGCTGACGCTTTGGCTGCCGCCTTTGAGGCGCTGCAGGGATGCACGAGCGTCCTTTTTCAGCTTCTTTCAGCAAGGCGCGCTGAAAAAGGACGTTCGTCCCAACAATGCCGCTTTGTATCGAAGTCGCGAACCTGCCCCTTTTTTCGTCGATGGCTTCATCGGCGGCGTCCCTGCCGTGGTCGCCTGTTCCCCTGAATGGAGGCGCATCATCCAGTCAACAACCCGCGGGACCGGATTAAAGCGGCAAATTAGCCTTGGCCACTGTTGAAAATTAATAAGTGCGTTCCAAAGCTCCATCTGGAATTTCTAAAGGGTCCACTTTTTCAAAAAAAGATTCTTTTTGCATAAAACAGAAACATGAGAGGTTTTGGAGGGACTTTCCAAAGTTAACAAACTGACCTAACCTAACCAGTGCACTGCACTAGTGCCCACTACAGGCAAGTTACTCCAAGAACCGAGTTAGAAAGAATAGGGCGGGCGGGCGAGACTAATTGCTTCTTCCAGACGAGCGGAGCCTGGTAGGGCAAAAGGGCGACAGGGTGCACGGCGTGCACGGAGAAGATCTGGGCGCCTGGAACGCGCGGGTGGTTAGCGCAGGGCCCCCATTTTGCGGGGAATGCGCGGCAGACTAGTTAGTGCCAAGGACCTCGAGCGAGGACCCCGCCCCACCTCCCGGCCCTCGGCCTGGCCCTCGGCCTGGCCCGCCTGACCCGGGTCGGCCTTACTGACGGCAACACATGCACGCGCCCGTTGCCTTTGCAGCGGTCGCTCAGGGACACGCATCGACCAAGCCTCGCCCCGGGTCAAGTGTCGCTCCACTGCCCATTCGGAGCGCGTTAGAAGCCCGCGGCTCCAATGGGTATATTGCTGCCAGCGGAATATTCGACTCGGAACGCACCCCCCCCCTCTCCTCCCCGGGGCGACGTACTTGTGTTGCGTGCCGCGCAGCCCTGCTGCCTTTCATCCTTTCATCAAGCGCTGCTCAGTTTGGCGAAGACTTTAGAGGAGGTTCAGGATGATGCAGAGGCAGTTGGACTTGTGCTGTTTCCAGCGCGCGTTTGAGCTGACGATTTACTTTGGCTTCGAGATTAAGATAGTCTAAGATAATGAAGAAACAGGGTGGTTCGTTTTCAGGAACAGACTCGCTATGAAGCTCCTCCCCTTCGAACGGAGACAACGGCAAATACCCGTTGAGTGAACGCCTTTCGGCGAGCAGCCGGCAGGGTACCCGCTGCAAGGGGGCCGCCCAGATCTGCATGCTGGTCATGTCCTCCACATTTTCGTGCTTTCCCCGCGCGGGGCTGGGCGGGGCTGGGCGGGGCTGGGCGGGGCTGGGCGGGGCCTTTCCGCGACTCTCCGCGACGCGCCGCGACGCTCCGCCGGAGCGGGACTCTGCCCGCGAGATTCTGCCCACGGTCCGCTGAGCCAACTGAACGAACTGTGCACACTTTTTCACAGGTCACGGACCGCGCTGAACAACGCGGAGACCAAGTTTGCGTACGAGTCGCGCCAGTAGGCAAGGCCTCGCCCGGCAGGGACGAATGGAGGTGGCGGTGGACTTGGGAAGACTTGAATTCCAGGAAGGAAAACTTGTCGAGGATTTCGGGCTTTGTCCGAGGAACTGCCTTCTTTGCGAGCGCAGTCCTCCAAGACGCGTTGGCGAGGCGCTCTCTGCCATTCTCGGCAGGGCGAAGGGCAAGGTTAAGCTTCCCGGCCGGAGCGCCGGGCTTGGCGGAAGGCTTGGCGGAAGGCTTGGTGGCAGGCCGAGCCATGGGCCCAGCAGACCAGAGGAGGCGCCTGCGGCTTGCGGCGCGGAGTTTGAACTGGGATCGAACAACCGCGAGGCAAGGGCTCATGAAATGGATTTCGGTATTCGGTACAGCCCGGCCGGCCGGAGTTTACCGCACTGCGATTTCCGACAGAACTTTGGCGGCCGAGGCATTGGGCATCTCAGTCCGCCAAGACCACCACATCATCAATGAGTCCAGGTTTCCATTTCTTGGGACGACGGGGCGAGGTTCATTATTTAGCGGGCCTGGCGAGCAAACTGTGGTGACGGCCACTCTTGTTTATCCCTTGTTGTTTTCTACTCTGTCGAGTACCGATTATACTTTTGCGGGCAGCAAAAGCAGACAAGAGGTGCTTCTCATGCACCACGGGCTACTTACCGCCCCGTGCCCAAGGCGAAGCACCGCCTGTCCTCGTGCCCGTTGCTCGCCCACCCCGGCCGGGACACTTCAGCATTTGCATACAACTGTTCGCGAGGGGTCGCTAGACGAGCGGGAAATAAGCCTAAGGACACCCGGGCCGGAAAAAGAGGCAACAAACTGCCAGGCAGAAAAAGCGGCAAAACTCGGCAACGCCCCGTCTAATATCTCTCGTGTCCAAGGGTCCGCAGCAGCGGCGGAGTCCCCGAGCTGCCGCCACGGGGCCCCGGCAATATATGTCAAACTTAAACTTTTACACGAGACAGTGAGGACAGAGGCTCTACTCACATCGCCCAGCTTGACGTAGCACTCCTGGAAGAACTGGTTGCCCAGCAGCACGCTGAGCAGCCCGAGGAGGCCCTGGGGCGCCTCGGTGATCAAGAACAGCAGCAACACGGCCAGCAGCATCTTGGTCGTCCGGTCGGTCTGCTTCTCCTTCTCGACGAGCCGCTGACTCTTATTGGCGCGGCGGCTGCTCTTTCGCTTGCCGCCGCCGCCGCCCCCCGACGCGCCGCCGTTGAGCGCCTGGTGCACCGAGCTGCCCATGGAGAGCTGCTGCCGCCGCCGCTTGGTCTCCAGCAGCGCGAAGATGAGCCGCAGGCTGAGGATGGTGAGCGCGGCGCACGGCACCAGCTTGATCACCACACTGTACACCTGCAACACGCGGAGCCGCACTGTTACCAACTGTTACTAACTCACTATCCGTTCCCCCTGTCCATTTTCAATTTTTCAGTCAGTCCAAAAAGAAAAGTCCGCGTGGAGAGTTAGAGTGTATGCCACATATTGCTGCCATTCCCGGGGATGAAAAATAAAACGCACAACAAGAAAAGCGGACTGGGAATTGGCATGATAGTGGCAGGCTTCCGCAGTCGATGCAAGGCGGGGGGCATAACACACGTGATGTTGTCATGTTTACCTCCGCCGAAAAAGGGAAGGGCGAGGCAAACAAGGAGAGATGAATCCGTGGGGCCGTAGTGGCCTCCGCTTGGAAGCAAGCCTGAAGGCGCTGCCGACGGAATTCGCTCAGCGGAGAGGAAAAAATTAGCCCCGAAAGGGCCGCAAATGTTTGGACCCGTGTCTGAAACGCGTCTTGTTTCAAAAAAGCTCTTGGAGAGCGAAAAAAAAGAGTGTCCGGGGAGTGTGTCGGATTGTGAATATGTATACGCGAGATGTGCGCGGGCGGGGCGGTGCGGGGGCGTGGGGCGGCGGAGTGCCCCCGGCGGTCGAGTCTTATCGGAGGACTGCATTTTGCCGCGTTCGATACTCCCCTGCAACAAGCAGCTATCTACGCTCACTGTCTCGATAACCGAGTATCTACGGGCGCTCTCCCGACAACCGGCTATCTACATGGGCTGTCTGGATAACCGACTTCCAACATCGAGCGAGGTTAGGGTGTCGTACAACGAATATTTTCTCCAGACACTTAAAGCGACCCGTTTAAACCATACTTATCTTGCTTTGACAAACTTTTGACAAGTTCTGGTAAAGGAATTGCGAGGGCAACTTAATTGGTTGTAATAAAGCTTCAATCTCGCGAGGTGGAGAAAGCAGATAGACGGTTATCCAGACACTCGTGTAGATACGCGGTGTGCGCGAGGCGCGCGTGATGTCGGTTATCGAGACAGTGGGCGTGATAGTGCTTTTTGCAGGGGGTATCCGCGTTGGAGCTTTGAAATTGACTAGACCGCCGTTCCACGTATTGTACACAGGGCGGAGCAAAAGGGTCGAAATGAGGGGGTAGGGGTTGGGGGTCGGATCAAGAGGTATCTAGGCTGCGGTGGAGAGAGAGAGAGAGAGAGAGAGAGAGAGAGAGAGAGAGAGAGAGAGAGAGAGAGAGAGAGAGAGAGAGAGACCGAAGAAGATAGATGAGGACTCTCCCCTTATGGATGTTGTTTGCAGTGTGCACGGCGGTGCAGCCGGTCGGTAGGCCGACTGTTTTGCTGAGCCCAGCCGCGCTAAGCCAACACGCCGCAACCCTGACCCACACTCCGTGGCACTCCGTGGCACTCTGTGGCCAATGGCAGCAGAGGCTGCCGTGGGCTGCCGGCCCCAGCGGCCAGACCAATCAACAAAACTGGCATCGCCCCGGGCGGGGCGGGGCGGGGCGGAGGGACCTGACGTCGGCGTGTGGCGCGGGGAGCGCGTGCTGGTTTCCTTGGCGTCCCCGTCTCGCTTCCACCCCCCGTGGGCCCCTCCAGGAGTCGCTTCCTACCTCCCCCCCCCTGGAGTGCGACAGAGAGGCTCCTCTTCGAGTGTGCACGCCGCATGCAGCGGGACGCCCTTGCTGTACAAAAGGGGCGGCAAGGACAGGTGTCTTGCAAACACGCACCGCTTCCAGCGGTCGGAACTTCCCTCGCCACAAAAAGCGACTATTCCTCGTATTCTGATTGGACGAAACGGGCTGCTGAAGAGCACTTGCAGTGGACCCTGTTTTTGGACCCCTCTCTCTCCGACCTCTTCCTGGTTCGGCCGTCGCCGCACGTCACTCCGGATTACCGCCTTTTGGACGTCATCAGGGCCTAAATTTGTCCCGAGGTGCGCGCTGGGCTCGGCACAGGGCGGCGGCGCGTCCTCGAGCGGAAGGGCCAAGTGATGGAGAAAAGAGGATCAAATCCGTCTTCTTTTTAAAGAAAGTATGAGGAAGGGAGAGGCCCGCCGGGACTGCGACGCTTTTCTTCATCTCTGCAACTCGGTGCTCCAAATAAATTAGTTTGTTAGCGGCAAACGAGGTGAATGGATAAGGCGCCAGATCGCGACGCGAGCGTCTCGCGTCGATGAATGTCTCACCCAAGGAAAACAGACGAAGTTAAAAACAAAAACAGGAAATAAAATAAAAGAGAAAGCAGCTGCGGTCCGCTCGGCCGGAGAGAAACCAAAGAGCGACGCATCGCTAAGCGAAGAAAGGCGGCGCGGCCGAGGGGTGAATCACTCAGCGTTCTGGTGTACACATGAGTACATGAGTACGGGTGAGTACACCTTGGTTTACTCATAAATTTCACAATTTAAAACGTTTTAAGGCTTTATTTAGCGTTTTTAACGGCACTCAACGTTAAGTCGGTTGAAAAACTAGAGAATTTCGCCCTTTTTAAACTTGTGAGTACACTGAGTACGGGCAATTTTGTACACATGAGTACACTAGTGATTCACCCCTCGGGCGCGGCCCCAAGCACGGCTCCAGCCATGGCTCCAAGGGCGCGGCGGCGCGGCGGCACGGCACGGCCAGGCCGGCCGAGGCACACGGCAGCGCACGCCACGCGGCAGAATCACTTTTCGATTTCCACCAGAGTGAAAAGGCGCCGAAAAAAAGGAAAAAAAAAAAAAAAAACAAGGAAAACGGGAAAGCGAACTGGGACGACTCTCATTATCGCTTCAATTGTGTGATTTGTTCGGCCAGTGGGTGAGAGGGGCACGCGAGGGGGGAGCTTCCGTGAGGCCTGGATAGAGAAACGGGAACAGGAAGGGGAGGGGAGGGGGAGGGGTCAGCAGGGTAATGCTCGCACTTTGCTTCCAATGAGACTCATTAACTGCGACATCCATGGGGTTTTTTTCCTACCAGGTATTTGCCGGGCCGCTCAGCGCATGGCCTTTAAAAAAGCGGAAAATTCTGCGGCCCAAATTTAATTTGGGCGCAGAAACAAATAATTATTTTTGCCTACCGCGTGCCGGAGCTTAACACGAGGTCCAATTTCTGCAGCTTTTATATGGTTTTATCTCCTCCTCCTCCTTCTTCTTCTTCTCCTCCTCCTCCTTCTTCTTCTTCTTCTTCTCCTCCTTCTTCTTCTTCTTCTGCAAGGAGGCTAATCCGTGCGAGGCATGCAGAAGAGCGTGGCGTCCCCCTTCCCCTCTCTCTCTCTCTCTCTCTCTCTCTCTCTCTCTCTCTCTCTCTCTCTCTCTCTCTCTCTCTCTCTCTCTCTCTCTCTCTCTCTCTCTCTCTCTCTCTCTCTCTCTCTCTCTCTCTCTAATCTGCGCTGCACTCTCGGCGTCACTGTCGCGGCCGGAGAATTTATCCGGATAACGCGCGGCGTGGCGTCCGGATTGTCCCGCACGTGTCTGCATCACTGTCAACTACGTACGCCGTCAGGAAAAGTGCAAAAAACAAAAGAAATGGAGCGGAGCGTACCGCTTGCCTGCCAAGTTCTCTTGTTATTGTTGTTGTTGTTGCTGTTGTTGTTGTTGTGGGGGGCGTCGTCAGGCACTGATCATTTAGTTTCCTTGTTTTCTTTGTATGAGAAATAGAGAGGGAGAGGGAGGGAGAGAGCCCCCCCACTCGAAATCAGTCTCCTGCGGCGCAGTGATTTTCGTTGCGGGGCCTGCACACGGTGAAAGGGACGAGCGCTGCTGCTGCCGCGCAGATCCTCATCTCGACTCAGTTTCCGGCGGAGGGCAACACAAAAATCTGCAAGATGCGTGGATGCCCCAGGGGCCTGGGTCCCTTGGAGGGGGGGGGGGGGGAGGAAGAGGAAGACGTTGCCGCACTTTCTGCTATCGTGAGCAGGCAAGGGTGGCGTGCCTCGCAGTGCCTCGCAGCGCCTCGCAGCGCCACAACAAAAGGCGAACACGGCGGCGGAAAGGTGCGGTAGGCTGGCTGCCGCTGGCTGCAGACTGAGGGTCGTCGCTCTGTCTCTCTCGCACCCACACGGGACGCGCCATGAGTGCGAGAGAGACGACAACGACTCTTGGCTGGCTGGGCATGCAGCACAGTGGAGGGCTATGAATTGGAGCAAAACGAAGCGTGGCCGCGCGAAATGGGAAAGGATCACACGCGAGCGCCAGACAGTTTGGGAGTGAGATTGGGGCGAGGCGAGGGCCCCCGAGGGGGCAGGGGAGTGGTCTCGGGGGAATGATGCTGAGAGAAATCCGAGGGGCATCCGCTCCAGCGCGTTCCACCTGGGGGATGACGTACGACGTATCGCAGTTGCCCCAGGACGGCGTCGCGGCGCGTCGCGGATGCGTTGAGCGCCGGCACCGTGGGGAGCAGGGCGGGCAGGGCCCCGAAACTTGCCGGCCCGGCCCCTTTGACATACATTGTAGTGGGCAGAGGCCGAGGCGGGCGGGGCCAGGCAGGCCAAGGTCGGGTGGCAAAGCGAAGGTGGAAAGGCGACAAGCCCTGGAGGACTTTGAGGCTTTGAGGCGCGGCCCGCTGCAGCCCCCAGCCTGCCCCAGCCCGGCCCAGCCAGCCATCCGTCAAAAGGCAGGGAGACGCGAGAGGAATGCAGCCTTGAGGCGAACCCTGAGGCCTGTCACGGGCCGCCTCGAGACCCCCAAATAATGAGTCCCAGTTTATTGGGGCAGTGGGGGGCGCTTTATGCAGGGCAGATTCACTCAATATGTCTTGGTTACGCTTTGTCTCACTGCTGTGAAAAAAGATGAAAAATTGAACCAAAGCTGACTCTCTCTTGTTTCTGGCCGTGCAGCGGGTACTGGCGTTGTTTCTGAAGGCCGTCAGCCCAAGTCCCATTGTCTCCGACCGACCCGCCCGGACTGTTCCAGGCGGTTCCAGGCGGTTCCAGGCGGTTCCAGGCGGTTCCAGGACACCCGCGGGACGTGCTGCGCTCCAAGCAGTCGCCACTCCTCCTGGATTCTTCAGGTCGCGTTCCGTTCTAACTCATTCTCTTTCCCGAGCGCCCCCCAGCTGGAGCCTGGGGCCTGGGGCCTGGAGCCGGCTGCCGGGGGACACTCAAGTAGTCTTTGTTTGTTCCAGCGAGAGGCCCGACCGGCTGGAGAAAGCCGAGCCCGGCCTGACACATTTGCTCAAGTTCTCGCGCAAGGAAAGCCATCAAAAACTACTGCCACCCTGCCGCCCGCCTGCCAGCCTGCCGGGAAAAGGACCGAAGGACGGCCGGCGGCGGGGCGTTGTGCGGTGGTGAATAGTTAGCAAAGTGTCAACAGCCGAACCATTCCGAACTCTGTCTCACTCGCACCTCCACGGGGCGCCTCATGAGTGCGACAGAGACAGAGCGCTCCCTCGAAATCGCTCGGCAGAAACGGATTTGGTGCGCGGACCAGTAATGGAGTCGCTGGCTGGAGCGGCTGGAGCGGCTGAGTGGCGCGCACACGTCGTTTCCAGCGAGTGGGTCTGCGCGGAGCAGCGCGACGCGACGTGAAGCGACGTGAAGCGACGTGAAGCAACGCCACTTTGGGCATCCAGGTGGAGCGCGCTGGCGGTGCGGGGCGTACACTTATCAGTGTACACTGATAAGTGGACCGAGAGACAGGCGGCCGTAGATATGAGGAGAGGAGGCTCGACCCGCTGACACAGAAGTGCCACTGTCGCGAGTTTCGGCCGCGAGGCCTCTGCGCCTGTTCCGTCAGAACAGCTGGGAAAGTCAGACAAACACAGGCCGACAGCGTAAGCACTCGCTTGCCGGCAGTTGGAACGAAAATTAAATAGGTTTCGATTAATTCTCATTTATCAAATTCTCTTTCGAAAAATGAATTTTGAAATTTTAGCAAAATTTCAGTCTGTTCAAGAATTGATAATTTATTTTTTACGGTGTTTAAGTGAATCAGAGTCGCCAGCGCAGAGAACGACCAGCGGTCGTTCGTTCCTTCTCCCTCTTTTTCGCAGAAAGGTCACGCGGGCGAGGCTAAGAAGGCTTAGGCGGGGGAGTGAGAGGGGAGTGAGTGAGGCGTCTCGCTCTGCGTGCTCCAAGCCACGCGGTGCTGCTGGACACCGCCGTCCAAGCGCGTCGCCGAGTCCGTACATTGGAAAACGGCGAGCCAACTTTCAGAGACAGCAGCGCGGCAAAACCGTCTTTGGAAAATAATTAATTTGTTTGGCGACCTTCGGTTTGCCTTGGCTTCGGCTTGGCTTCGCATTGGGAGTCACGCGGCGAGCGCAAAGTCACCGTGCAGCTTGAGCCGAACAATGAGTCGCACTCTGACGTCCCACTGCGCCCTACCCGGCTTGCGGGCTGCTTCCAAAGTCGTCGCTCTGTCTCTCTCGCACCGCCGCGGCGCCCTGCGCGCCCTGCGCCTGGCCGTGACAAGTGAGCGATGAGTCATCCTGCGCCACGGTGTGCTAGGCAGCGCTCGGCAGCGCTCGGCAGCGCGACGCGACGTGTCTCGTGTCTCGAAATGACGGCGCAGTCCGGGGACCGAGCCGGGGACGCTGCCGCGCCACATTTTGTCTTTGTTCCAGTCAAAACCGGGCCAGCGCTGGGCCAGCAGTGTGCCAGCACTGGGCCTGCGGCTTTGCTCTTCTTCTCGCGGAGAGGGGCAAAATTCGTTACGAAATACGCCGACCTTTTGTTTTCGCCCTTGGTGTTTTTGTTGGTTTGCTCTGTTGTTTTCGTTGTTTTTTCCGAGAAGAGGGCCTCCTTTACAGTATCGAGAAAACAGCGCCACTCCACTGTTCGTTCCGCGGTGTTGTTGCCCTTTTTTCTAGTGAGGCCAGCTGACTGATTCCGCACGTCACTCTGTCTCTTTCGCATTCACGGGCCGCTCCGCAGTGGGCCAGATGACCGGTGGAGCGGACAAAACTCTAGACGCGTTTTGAGCTCCAGAGTCGCTAAGTGGGACTCGAACCGAACGTGTGACCCCACCAATGGATTGCTCTCCGAACGAGGAATCCATTGGTGGGGTCACACATTCGGTTCGAGACCTGTTAAGCGACTTTGGAGCTCAAAACGCGTCTCGAGTTTCGGCCGCCTCCACCGGTTGGCCCACTGTGCGTCCCAGGAGAGCGACAGAGACCGCGGCGGTTTCTCGATGGTCGTCAGTTTTTCTGCGTAGGACGTGTTCCCAATCTCGCCCCGCTCCGCCGTTACCAGGAAGCAGCCCTGCCGGGGCAAAAACGGGGCCGAGATGAAGGAGCAGGCGAGGCAACTATGTTAGCGACGCAGCGCCTATCATCTCCTCGTTAGCAGCGCCAACCTGCCAGGCGCTCTTGCCACCCCACTGCGAGCGATGAGCCATTTCTCATCCCGGCGGTCACCTTCGAGCACCCGCACACTGTGATCCCTCACGCCGCCGCGACAGGCGGTGAGAGAGACAGACAAGCGGCAGGCTGCGCGGCGAGAAACCCTCGATCCCACCGATGGGTCGCCCCCCAGACGAGGGCTGTCTGCACCGCGTTCGGGTGCCGTTTCCGTTCCGCGCCCACAACGCGCGTGTCGTTCCGTCCGCGTCGTTTGGCCGGCCTTGCAGTGTACCGCCTGCGAGGCGGGCAGCCGGCCCGCGCTCCACACTCGGCCGCGTGGCGGGCCGGCCTATCCACCGATTCACAGGCGCTCGGCTCAGCTCTGGTCTGGTCCGCTCGCGCGCAGTGGCGCGCAGAACGCGGCCCAAAAACATAATCCCACCATGCGCCAGCATCACTACTAGGGTTGCCACCCTCAGGCTGCCTACCTGGCGGCGCTTTGTCCTCCAAAAGCAGGCGTCGCCCAGTTGAGGTTGGCAACCCTTCTTTTCGAGGCGCTGCAAACGTGGGAATTTTGGCGCCTACTCGTGCGGCAGACGGCAGCACTGCGCGCCAATTCGAACACGCGGCGATCCCCGCCCCGCCTCGATTCCCACCTTATTTCGTGTCACCGGGCCGCATCCTCCGACATCCTCCGTTCCGGCGATACGATCTGTCAGGACCTTCCGCGGAACGACGTGCGTTCGCGCGTGTGTGTGTGTGTGTGTGTGTGTGATGGCGCGTGTCCGCGAGTGTGTGCCGCTGATGGTTATGATAAGAGCCCCGCGAGCGTCGCGCGTGGCGCTGCACGGCACGCCCCCGAACAATAGGCCGCCCAGCAGCCTCCGCCCCGCCCCGCCCCACGTCACCCCACCCCGCCCCACCTCGCGGCTCGTGCGCAAGTACGAGTGCTCTCGGCGATAATTGGTGTGGATCCATCAAGAAGCCTCACGCCTGATCAGCACGTCACGCATTGTTTTTTGTGTTTCCCGCTTCTTTTGTTTTTGTTTTGCATTTACTTGTTTTGGTTCCTCGCTTTCGCCACGCGCCCCGCATTGACGGGATTGGCAGGCGGGAAATTAGACGGACAGATGGAGAGACAGGCGGACAGACAGGCAGACAGACAGACCGACAGACAGTGAGGCCCGAGCGAGGCTTTTCGCACGTGCAATGGAGTTGTCACTCGCGTCGTCGTCGTCAGGCCCACCAGGCCCGCCAACCGGTTATTGCTCGGAAAAGTGCCGCGGGCAGCAATGACAACATTTTTGACCGAGCTGCCTTCGCTATAACCGCGCTGCGATGCCATTTCGTGTACTCTGGCAAAACGGATTGACCCCCGGGGGACTCTCCCTGCACCCGAAAAAAGGCGTTTCTTGAACCCAGAACATTTGCCCGCGGGTAAACGCGCAGGCCCCTGGACGCTGAATTATATAAAAAGGAAGATCGCGGATCAACTCCCCAGACGACGGAGGCCTTGTCTCGTTCCAAGAGGAATACAAAACAGCGAAACATTTCCGCTTTGTTCGTTTTGCCTCACTCCTAAGACCGAACGAAGGTCCTCCCTTGAGTCAACAACAAGTTGAGACCGCGGTCAGCTGCCTGATTCCGACAGGCAGGTCCCCCCCCCTCTCTCTCTCTCACTCCAGCACGCACGGAGCTAGGGTGCGAGAGAGAAGACAGCCCGCTCGGAATCAGCCTTCAGAGGAAGTTAGTCGTCGCCAGGCCCGCCAGGCGGTGGGGCTGTTTACGGTGTAGGTGTGCTTAGGATAAGACCGAACAAGTGGCCCACCGCAGGGCCCACCGCAGACCCCCCCGCGGGGCCCACCGAACCGAGGAGCGCACGACGCGGCCACCACCGCAAGTTTACTTTTTCGACTGGAAGCAAAGTTAACCGTGCAAAGGGAGTCTGGAACTGGGGCCGAGCCGGGCCGAGCCCCAACAGAGGGGTCCCTGACGATGCTGACGACAGTCGCTGTGTGTGGTCTGTCCACTGCAGCGGGGCAGCGCGCGAAAAAGGGACAGAAAAAAGATTTGTTTAACCCCGTCCGGAAAATTGCTAAGGGAGTGGAACGAAAATAAAGTCGTGAGCCAAAACACCCGTGGCACCGCAGAGGAAGCGGTTATGCTGCGCCGCGGGTCCGACAAATTTGCAGTTTTGTTTTCTTGACAGCGGCAAAGCAGTTCCACTCTTCTTCTCTCTCTCGCTCTCGCCCGGGGGACGGCGTGGAGCGTCACGCCCGGAGTGAATCTGATATCCGTACCCAGACGGGCAAGTGCGCTGCTGGCTGGCTGCAGTGGCGGCAAACTCGGGCAGGGACGCCGCCAGCCAAGCAGCCAGCCAAGCAGTCAGCCAAGCAGCCAGCCAAGCAGCCAAGCGCGACGTCGACGGCAAACAGGGGCGCTTGTCAGGTCACGGGGACACTCCCCAAGTCGCCTGGAACATGCCCTCCAGGCTATGGGCTTCTCACTCGCTTTTTCCGCGTGCACCGAATACGAATGCGTGAACTCTCTTGAATTCACCACTGCTAGTTTGGGAGCACCAGTCTCGCAAAGTTGGTCAAAAGTGATTGTATCTCAGAGCAGTGGTAAATGCTACCGTCGAAAAACGTCAAAGAACATGTGTGGGTGAAAGTGTGTTTTTTCCCCCCGAGGCCACGAACGAGGAAACTGTGCAGGTGCAAGGGGAAACTCACCCAGAAGTTGATGTTCTTGAGTAGCCCGTTGTGGAACTTGCCCATGTCGCTGAGGTTGACGAAGTAGTACGTGGCGTTGGTCTTGGCGTCCACGCTGGACTGGATGGAGAAGGTGAGGTACACCGGGATGCAGAGCAGCGGGCAGATGACGTAGCCCGAGAAGATGGCGATGACCGTGGTCCGCATGTTGCACCACTCGTGGTTGCGCGCCGGGTGCGCCACGGCGATGTAGCGCCACACGGCCAGCGTCACCGTCAGCCAGATGGAGATGGTGTGGAACACCTGCAGCAGAGGGCCAAGAGACATGTTACTGGCTAAAATGTGCTCTAGTAATTTTTTTCAGCACATTTTTTTCAGCACATGATGCATCTGCAGATGATACATCTTTTCTGCAGATGAAACATTTTTCTGCAGATGAAACATTTTTCTGCAGATGATACATTTTTTAGCAGATGATACATTTTTTTTTTGTAACTTTCAAACATTCGATATTAACATTTCTTCAAGGTCAGATGTTCCGAAAAAGAAGATGTCCTGCGGTTCTGCGCGAAGAGCGCGAAGTGTGATATTTAGATGGCGAATTGTTGGTGTGGAAAGGCGGCCACTGAGGGGAGGGGGGGGCAGCCTCGGCCCCAGCCGGCGTCACGCCAAACTACGCGCCCCGGCCGCAGATTATCTGCCGCCACCAAAGAAATGGGGGGCACGAACTTGAGCGGGACGCTGCACTCGGCGCCCCCCGCCCCCACCGCCAGCAGCAGCAAGCCGAGTATCACGTGCTGAGGGCAGATCCAGAGACGGCTTCAGGAGGGAGCGGATGTCGCAAAGGATGCCTAAGGGACAAGGTGGGTCTTTTTTGCTACCTTCTAGCGGGGGGCTCCGGGTCCTCGCCGGCTGCACCGTTCGGAACAAGGAACATGCAAATGCTGATTGTGGCGGATTGAGAGAGTCGTCCCCGTCGGCAATCCCGCGCAAAGCGCCGGGACAAAGTTCCGCCTAATTCAAAGCAGGAGGAGAACAGACGGTTCGTGGAATTTTTCATTAGAAGGCCGCGTGCACGAGGAGAAACTCGGATCCAATACGCCGCCTGACGACGCTTCGCTAAACGTTGGCGTCACATGACTGTCACGTCGATGGCGGGCCCGTGGCGGGCACGGCTTGAGGCCTTGAGACCGCCGCCTCAAAGGAGGGAATTGGCTGAGGCCTCCGCTCTCCAAACCGCTGTGGCGAACTATCAATCGAGGGGCGCCCCGCTCTCGCCCACTCCGCTCCGGGGCTCGGCGAAAGCTCGGCGAAAGCTCGGCGAAAGCCCGGCGAAAGCCCGGTGAAAGCCCGGCGAAAGCCCGGCGAAAGCCCGGCAAAAGCCCGGTGAAAGCCCGGCGAAAGCCCGGCGAAAGCTCAGTGAAAGCTCGGCGAAAGCTCGGCGAAAGCCCGTTGTCGGCGGCGTTCAGACGCCTCAGCATGATAGCTGTCACGGTCTCGGTGCCGATTCGCGAGGACCAGCGGAAAAGGCGACAGCACTGCGAGCAAAACGCCATTGGTCATTACTTGGTGCAACTAAGCGGCAAGCCCTCCGAGCGCGGCATGGCTTCGCCATGGCTTCGCGACCCCTCGCGGGCCGATCGGACAACGGAGCCCGACGGAGCCCGGGGCCCTCGGGCGCTGGATAAGCCCACTACCCGCCTGCACAGCGCGGGAGATAGGGGACCGGACCTAACCGGCCGGACTCTCAAAGTCGCAGAGAAGCGGAAGTCGAAGCGGTGCGGCGCCTCCACCCCTCACTGAAGGCACAAAGCCCTCTCGCCGTCTGGACAGCAGAAGACCCTTCCAGCAGTCGAAGAAGCCGAGGTGTTAAAGATTTCTCTTGTCGAGATCGAGGTGACATCGCCTGGACTGGTCGATAACGTTCTGCTGCCGCACCGCGACCACCGCGCGCGCCAGAATGGCTGGAAGAACTCGAACTGCCAGCAAACGGTTTCTTTGTCCGCGCCGATGGCTACCGTCACACACACGCGCCCTCTCTCTCCCACAGTCACACACAGTCAGTTAAATGGCCGGGTGACAGAGCGAACAGGCCCCAAATCGCCTCGCACCGTTTCGGCGCCCACAGCGCGCACCGCAGAGCAATTAGTATTCCCCCTCCCCTTTTTGTATCACTGCGAAACAGGCACGGCCTGCCGCGCAGTGTGGGTACTCGCGGCCTGGTTGCTGGCCAGGCGAACGTCCGTCGCCGCCGCGGTCTCCGATGACGCCCCCATCCCGGAGGCATGCCCGTTTTAGCGCATTTTGGATTTTGGTTAGCGCGCTCTTTGTCTGGCACAGCGGACGTCGTGCCGTTTGCACACGGATGCCCGCAACCACCCGTGCGCGCGCAGACGCACGCAAACATCAAACAGCACTCACACACACACACACACACACACCTACACACACACACACACACTGACGCGCGCACGGAAGCCCGTCCCTATCCACGCGCATGCACACAGCAGAGCACATTCGTACACCACGTCTGAAGAAACTGCGAATTTGAGCGGATTCAGACAGGCCCAACAAAACCTACGATGCCTTCTGGAGAAAAAAAAACAACAACAACGAAGTGGGGGCAGAGACCGCGCTAATTGCAAAAGATGGAGATGATGGAGTTTCCATGTAAAAGCCGGGATCTGTGACACGATCTATATTCTGCGAAGAAAAAAGCGACGTTAATGGCGAACGCCCCCACACAGCGATAGTCCGTTGGGCTCGACACTTCCACAAGTCGGCCTCAACCTAATCGTCTTCAGCGCAAGCGCGGGGCTTTTTGTGTCGCGCTCAACTTTCGCGCAGTAAAATAAAAAGTAAGTTTCCTGTGGGACGGGAACAGGGAGGCGCGGGTGCGGCCGGCAAGACAGACGAACCAGGCGGCAACGTCCAATAAACGCCTGATTCTCCAAAGAGGAAGTTCCGTGCTGCTGAGGTGCCCCACTACCGGCTGAGCCCGGGCACACGGTAAAAACGGTACCTGGTTTTCCCAGGAGCCCCATGGCGAAGACATAGGCGATTTCCAGGGGGTTCCTGGGAAAACCAGGAACCGTTTTTACCGTGCAGAGCCTTCATGGAGAAGCCGCACCTCTGCTTCGGCTGAGCCATCGAATCACGGCGCCACTCCAATGAGAGTGCGGTGACGTCACAGAGTTGCCACCTGACTCCCAGTGAGGGCCTCTTAAGGACAGTGACACAGATGGTGCTCAACTGCTTGAATGATGTCGACAACGTCGTGACCAAGATACTGACGAAACAATTGTTTCCATTACGTGTAGAGGCGATTAACAAGTTTCAAACCTTGACAATCATGCCCCCTACGCAAAGCGTTGACGCCTGACGTCCCTGGTACAAAGTTTAACACCACATACCGCACGTCTAAACACAGAGGCAGAAAGCAATTACAATGCAACTTCTCGGCGACACCGCCTAGGCGCGCCTCACCTGCGCGAAGTTGGAGTGGAACAGCACGAACACTGTCCAGGGGTACGAGTACTTCTCGGAGGGCGGCCGGATCAGCAGGTACATGTGCAGCGCGAAGGGGATGTACTCCAGCATGACGAGGAGGTCGGCCACGGCCAGCCCCGTGAGGATGGCGTTGGTGGGCGAGGCCATCTCGCGGCGCGTGAGCACGGCGATGTTGAGGCCGTTGGCCACCGAGCCGAACAGGCACACGAGCAGCGAGATGATGCCATGGCCCGCCCGGTAGCTCGACTGGAACGACTCCAGCCCCGCGCCGCAGTACACGGAGGTACCCCCGCCGGGGTCCGTGCCATTGGTGGCGTTGTAGTAGTCGGCGGTGGTGGCGATGTCGTCCACGGCGTCCATGGCCGGGGACGGGGTGGGCGCCAGCATGCTACCTGGGCATGGTGGTCACCATGGTGGTCAGCACCACCACCAGCCCCCGCGCCGCACGGCCCCGCGGCCCGCCGAGGCGCCCAACAGTCTGCAACACGGGAAAGTAATGTTCAGATGCAAGATGAAATTGCAACAGGAGCGCTGAAAAACAAAACAAATTCGACAACAGTCCGCCACGCCCCGCTAGCCGCTAAGTACGTCGTGGGCTGGCGTTCGTTTACAATCTAGCGCTTTGCACACAAGCCCATCATGGAGCCGTGCTTGTTTTGATGCCCCGGCCTTCAAAACAAGCCAGACATCATCGACGCCTCACTTAACGGACCGGCAAAAATCAACAGCAGTTTTTCCACATTATCCTCACTCACTTTGTACAAAAAAAATCGTCTTTAAAAAAACATCGCTTGAATGCAGCGTGTTTCTCGGTTCAGCACGCTTTGCACTTCGGGTCCGTAGCCACCTCGTTAATTCGGCGCTGCCTTTCGAACAGGTTCCTTTACTGCTGACGTACCAACCACGGAGCGCAAATTTCCCCCTGAGGTATTCAAATCTTAAGTAAATCTCTGCGGGAGGGCTGTCCAGATGGATTCAATCCAACTTCCGAACACGTCGTGATTCCCAACTTGGACGGGGATATGCGGAAGCACGCGGAAGACGAGACCGCCAACTTTGTTTCCCGTGCAGACCAAAGTCTCGTTAGCCAAACAATCCCAGCGAAATCGAGCTGCGAAGGACGCGCGGTTAAAATATGACGCGTCTGCGGGAGCCCGTTTTGAATACGCCTTGAGGAGCCGAGCCATTCATTGCGCGCTGCCAACCTCAGCATCACGAAAACGAGGACAAATGTCGCCAGATGAATCAACACGTATCATGGTGGCACGCCTGCGAGGCGTGGCGCGGGGCGCCCCCAGGTATATATATCAGGCCCCGCTTCCGAGTGCGAACGAGCCGAGAGGGGAGGGAGCAGAAAAGCGCGGCAAAAATGGTTGTTTCCAAGTGTTTTCGGAGCGACTCTGTGCGACGGGTCTCGCTTCCTGCTCCCGTCCGGCGGTCTTTGTAACAGACAGGACGGGCGGCGACTATTTTTTGCCGTGATGATGTTTTGCACCCCGCCGCCGCCGCAGAGTGCGTTAAAAGCGGCCTCGACAACGCATCGACGCATCAGCGACGAATTAATTCGATTTGGGCCAGACTGCTGCGCCGCGTCTCCAACATGGAAATCAGATCGGACGTGCGCAGTTTGAGAGGATGACAGGGCACTGTCGGAACAGTTCCGTCGAATTCACTGAAATTGGATTCGCGGCTAAGGTTTGAAAATACCGGCAGTCGACATAACCAGTACCAACAAAGTCAGCTGCTTCCAATTTTTTTGCAGTGAGCAAGCGCGGCCCTGGATTTTGGCGGCCAGACTGGCGCCATGCAAACCGGAGCCCTGCTTCCTGCTCCAGTGTGCAAACTCAGCGCAAATACTCCGGAGTGGCCCGTGATCCAGACTCAATGCCCGAATTCCAGCTCCAGCAGCGCCAGCTTACAGTGCAGCACAACAAGACTCGGTGTCCGCGCCCAGCGCCCCGCGCCCCCAGTGACCGTGAACCGCTGTGCACGCATTGTTCGGCGAGGGCCGGGCGGGGCTGGGCGCCCAGGCAATCGCTCACCGAGAACTCGGGACGCGTTCAGCGAGGCGGCCTTCAATGACTCGTGAATTACCGCAACATAGGGCGTGCGTGCACGCAGATCGTCCCGGTTCCCACCAAGAAATTTGCCCACGCAGTTGTGCTGTAGTTCGCTGCCGTGCCCGCAGGGCCCGAGGCGGGGCGCAACCGCGGCCTCTGTATGGGTAGGCCGCTCCACGCGTGAACGGATGGCGGGGTGGGATGGATAGATGGATTGGCTGTTTCACAGCGTACTCCGGGAGAGTGCACGGCGTCCTGCAGATTTACAGCTGCATCCAGACAGACACAGCGCCACCGCAGCCACCGCAGCCGCTGGCTGACTTTGCGCGCACAACGGCCGGCAGGGCAGGGCCGGCAGGGCAGGGCCGGCAGGGCAGGGCCGGCAGGCTGCTGGTTCAGGGCTGGTTCACCTAGCCCCAGGCCTGTGGGCGTTTCAACGCGATTGGCGCGCTGGGAAAACAACCTGAATTATGGACATCATCCCTGGCTTAGTGTGAAGGAACGCGATTAACCAGAGTAGCCCCAAATGACTTTTATTTTAAAGATGAAAAAAATTGTTTCCGTGTGTCTTTGAAACCGCTCCGGCTGCGTTGCGCCTGTTCGCCACCACAGTATGACGTCATCGCAAGTCGTATGATGCTTGTATCACGACGCTCGGGGAAATGGATCGTAAACAGCCGTCGCTGTCGCGTCCACGGCCACAAACTACCCTTTATTGTCCTTGTAATTTGTTATACCTGCTAACAGTGTGCCATTTCAACCCTGACCCGCTCAACAAAAAATATCGACTCTCTTGGTTGTTTTTAACAAGGCGCTTTGATACAGGAACCCGGAAAAGCAGCGTCACTTGATGTGGGCAGCGTGAAAGGCATTGCCGTGCATGGCTGATGCTGTATGAAACCGAGTGTATCGTTTTCATTTTGTTTTCATGGCAATGCGTGTTCCCTCCCACCGCAGGGAAAAACAGGGACAAAAAAGCAGCACGCGTCGAAATTATAAACGCGTTTGCGGTAATGGCTTTGGGGGGGGGGGGGAGCAGTTCTCGGTTCAGCCTGTCCACTGGTGAGAAACCGGACACATGTGTCGGAGAGATAACAGACGCAATGTCGAAGGCACACGTGTAATGGTGGGAACAAACAGATTTTGATTGATAGACGTTTTCAAATTTGTGTTTTAGAAGAAAGCCTAGGAATACCTTGAACCCCATTTTTGGCCGGGTTGCAGTATCAAAGGCGAGAAATGGGCTCAGCCAGATGCAAGCGATGGTTTCTGGTTGAAACGAGTCACACGTGGCACTTTTATTCGGTCGGGTGCTGAATGGGTTTAACGGGGAGCTTCTCCATCATTCATCGAGTTGTCTGCAATCCCATCATACGTTATTCCGATGACGTACGTGGCTGCCAATACGGCGTCCGTTTTAACGGGCGCCTCACGGGGAGGAAAACACCCTTATCTTTTTTATCGTGACCTATGTTGCACCGAGCGCGCGTTACCAGCGGCTGGGTACTATAAAGGGAACAACTTTTTGGTGCCGTACTTTTGGAAGCGTTTGGGGCGCCGTTGTGATTGCAGCCCCCTCCATCCCGTCGGTGACAGTCGCAAAAGATTCGATAACAGTACACAGTCGATCATCGAAGCCCTGTCAGGCCCGTCCATTCTCCCACCGACTCTGTGTGTTTGTGTGTGTGTGTGCACGCACACGCGCCAACATGCCTTCAGATCCAGGGCTTACGCTCGTTCCACTGGCTGTGGCTGCGTCCCGCTACTTTAGCCCGGAAAGTTGCCTATTTGTGTTTGCATCTTGTTCCCATACTTTCACTCCCAGTCATTTGAAGCCAGCTCCCCCCCCCCCCCCCCCCCCCCCCCCGGGTCTCGTCCGTCCGTGCGTGCTTGTGCGGGGGCCGAAATGCGAGCGCACAAAATCAGGGATCACGTTCTGTGTGCCGGGCAGATCAAGGCCGGTCTGGGAGGGAGGGGCTCCGCAGCCATGTGACCAAGCAGAAACGCACAAACATGTCATCAGCCGGCCCTTATTTTTCTCCGCTATCCTTCCTTATTACGCAGCGATTCTTCAGCCAAGGGCGACCTTCGGGTTTTTTGGCCCAGAGCCTGAGTTTTTTGGCCGTGACCTTGGTTTTTTTGGCCCAGAGCCTGAGTTTTTTGGCCGTGATCTTGGTTTTTTGGCCTAGGGCCTGAGTTTTTTGGCCGTGACCTTGGGTTTTTCGGCCGTGACCTTGCGCTGGCGTGCACGCCTCCGCCTTGTAGCCACCCCGCACGTTATTCGCAGTAAAGTTCCTCGACACTTCCTTTGGCTGTGTGCTGCGGACAGACCGGGCGGGCTGGGACGGACGGGCACACTAGCCGCAGATGGGTAATTTGCCGCGACTACAACTTGTTGCACGTCCGTCCCGCGCCGTGCCGCCCCGTGGCGGGGCTTCCTTAATAGAGAGGAAGTCTCTTTCCTGGCCGCGGCGAGACTCTCTACTCTGCAATTTGGCGCCCAGCTTCAGCGGCGAGGCGATCCAGGGCATAGTAATGAGCTGCGCGCCTCTCTTAAGGACGAAAGCGGCGCGCCTATCAAATTAGAGAGTTTTCCGATGTCATACGGTCGTTTTGGCGCGAACAGATGGCTGTCGTCTGCCCCGGCAGAGCTGCCCTGGAGCCAGTCCCCCATTCGGACCCAACTTTCGTTTTCCGGGAAGGCCACGCGGTGGAATCCCTCCGGCGGAATCCCCCCGGAGCCACCAGGGCCAACACCTGTTTTCGGGCTTCCGACGAGCAAACAACGAAAAAGAAAACAGAACCTCCGCACAGCAGTCCAGCCGGAGGGAGAAAGGCGAGATGACAGGCAGACAGGCGTCGTACCTGTCCGAAAACACGAATGCATACCAGCTGTCAATGAAAACCTGGCACTCTTATGCGGATAAACTCTGAGTCCACCGCTAAGTCGTAGCTACCTGCAATTTGAAGTGAGCGCCGCGTAGCTGGTTACAACGACAGGGGGCAGAGAGATCAGTCACCAGCAGGCAGAGAGAGGCCCCGCGGCACTCAATTACGTGCAACACTGCACAGCTAACCGTAACGGATCGGATTGTCGGTTAACGCGTTCGAACACCCCCGGGGCCGTGACCGCGGCGTCGAGGCTTACGGCGTGCTGGCGTTGGGCGGGGCCGGGTGGGGCGAGGCGACTGACCCCGGGGCACCTTGATAACGCCCGAATGGCGGTGATTCCACTGCGGTGCATCGCAGTGAATAAACGAAAATGGGAGTGATTCAAAATGTGCGCGCACAGCTTCGGGCGCGGCCCTCGCGCGGTGTATCCGCCCTGCTGCTTGCGCCGCTCCGCTTGGCTGCCGCTTGCCGGCACCGTTTCGCGGCAAAGTGGCTCAATTTCCGCCAATAACAAAGCTGGGC